CCCGGGCTGGAGTGCAGTGGTGCAATCTCAGCTCACTGCAACGTCCATCTCCTGGGCTCAAGCAGTCCTCCCACCTCAGCCTCCAGAGTATCTAGGATCACAGGCACACACTACCATACCCAGCTTAATTTTTTTTGTATTTTTGGTAGAGATGCATGTTGCCCAGGCTGGTCCCAAACTCCTGGGCTCAAGCGATCCACCTGCCTCGGTCCCCCAAAGTGTTGGGATTACACGTGTGAGCCACCACATCCAGCCAGAAGCATGTCTTATTCTTTATCTGCATCTTGCACACTATTGGAGTTGTCAGCACGGCAAACTCATGATAAATACTTATTGAATAAGCATGTGAAAACTAAGGTTAATAGTTTTATGAGGACCATTTTGGCTTGCATACAAGGTGGATAGTCATATTAATAATTTGATTGGCAGCTGAAATGTTACATTAAATTTTCTTTTGAATTTTACAAATTTGGATGCTGATTCACTATTTTGCCTTCGGTTGTATAATTCCATTTGCTTATTTTAATTTACAGGTGTGACACTTTTATTACCTATTGGGTACATTTAACAGATGGGAAAATACAAATGTATAGATAATTACACTGTGTCTAAGTTATGAATTTTCCATACCGGCCAGAATTCCCCAAGCACAATCAAATGATTTACTTGCAAGCTGTTTGATGATACAACTAATCGGTTTGTTTTGTCCCTCATAGTGGGCTTGCCCAGACTCTCAAGATAGGAGAAGTTTTTTTGTATGAAATTGGAGGAAATATTGGTAAGCACATTTTTTTCTCTTTGCATTCTATATGCTGATTTAACATTGCCAGCGGTTATTATTTTTGTCTTTAGAGGAAGAACAGGAAATTAGAAGTAAAATATACCTAATGCATTAGTTAGTTGCTAAACATTGTGGATTCGTTTAATGGTTTGACCTTTCTCTTCAGGCTCTGTTTGAGCTCCTTCTGTACTTATGCCCATCAATGTTCAATTTCAGCAAAGGCAAATTTCCTGTACCATAAGAATAACTACTGGAAGGGTTAACGATACAAGTTTTTCAAAATTTTCTTCTTTTTAATATACTTATGTCACATAGTAAAGGACGTACTTGAGCCTATGTAAGGCTGACATTACACGTTATTATAATATAATATTAGATATCTTTAGTAAAAGCAGTTTTACATTTACCATAGTTGATTTCCTGCTAAATTTTATGCACATGCACATACACTCACAATTCACATCAGTAATTTAAAAAATGGAATGAATGAATTTTGAGCACGTTTTATATTTTACCCTTTTGTAATTATCAGGGAGTCTTACTCATCTCTTTTAAAAAATTTAAAATAAACTTTCTTTCTTTTTTGACTCTTGGAAATGGTAAAGGTAAAATTGTTAAGAAATAAATGAGATAATATTAAGTTCAAAATAGTAATTAAAAATAATTTTACAATAAATTTTATAGAATTTTTGGGGGGACTTAAAAATGTTAGTAAGTATTGAAAGTTGAATATAGGAATGCAAAGGTTCATTCTTAAATAGGCCACAACACTAGAAACCTGGACTTGTTAGCTCTATTAGTAAAGGGCATTTAAATACTAATATATTAGATTTTTAATTTTACTTTGGATCTTAGGAATTAAGTGTACTTTCTTAGGTAAATTCGAAACCATTGCCCCTCCTAATAAGGTGAATAAGCTTTTAAGGAATCATTTAAAAGCCAATCATATGAAGTATTTTCAGCTTCCTAAATTAATTTGAAACCTATTCATTTAGAGAAAGACTACCAGATTCACTTTTCCAATTGTTGGCCAATTCTTATAATATTGTGGGAAACAGGAAAGAATGAGAAGTTTGTTTCGTTTTCTTTTTTTTGGCAACAGTTTCTGCCCCTGTCACCCAGGCTGGAGTACAGTGGTGCAATCTTGGCTCACTACAACCTCCACCTCCTGAGCTCAAGCTATCCTCTTACCTCAGCCTCTCCTGAGTAGCTGGGATTACAGGTGCAAGCCACCATGCCCAGCTAATTTTTGTATTTTTTGTAGAGACACGGTTCATTATGTTGCCCAGGCTGGTCTCGAACTCCTGATCTCAAGCATTCTGCCCACCTCAGCCTCCCAAAGTAGAATGAGAAGTATTTTTAAGTCCAAGACTTAAGATGTAAATAATTAAGCTTCGGTTTAAAATTGCATGCCAGTCTACCTGCTGTATTAAACTGACACAACATCTCTTTTAATAGGGGAACGCTGCCTCGATGATGATACTTACATGAAGGATTTATATCAGCTTAACCCGAATGCTGAGTGGGTTATAAAGTCAAAGCCATCGTAGAGGATGTAACAAGCTGCAGATAACCATGTGGACTTCTATAATAATTCTTGCTGAGTCAAAAGTGAAAATAAAAGAAATGGCAGGACTCTTACTATGCAGCTGTACCCACCTATTTAAGAGTGACCCTCTGAAGCCTTAAAAAGTCATAGATTTGTGCTGCTGCCAGAATGATATTAATTATTATTAATGTTATTAGAAAAAAAAAACTTCTGGAGTGAGAGTAATGAGGCTTAATTAGCTTATGAGCAGTTGTCATATGCTCTGTGGGATGTGTCCAGATGTGACATTATTGTTTTTTAAAATATGTGAAAATATATTCTCTTCCCACTTGCTAAAATCATATATACTGTAATAAATGCTCTCTCACCTCTATTACCTCCTCACATCTGCCCTTTGCCAGTTAGGTTTGCTTTTTGACCAAAAAGATAACAAATACCAGGTATGGCAAATTGTGAAGACAGCACATTAAAGCATACCTAATTTCACAGTATTCCTGTCATGACAGAATGTTAGTATTCATCTCTGAATCATTTGCTCAAATGATAGCATTCCACTTTCTCCTGCTGTATCACGGGAGGTGATTTGCATTTTTTTTTCAGTTCAGCTGACTTATGTGCACAGAACTGTATCAGCGATCAAGAAAATAGGAGTCAGAAGCTGCCAGTTATTACTGAACCATTAAATACTTATATACTAAGGATAAATAAAATATACCTATGTGAAATAATAACTGGATTATGGATAACAACAGTGAAAGCCAAAGAACTTTCTGTCTGCTGTATTCTTCTAAATGGAATTTTAAAAGTCATAGCTGGCTCTGTGTGTTGTCATATTAGCATTATAAATATGCATGATAGTATAATCCAGTAATGGTTGAAGAATGTATTTTACTAAAGAGGGATTTTTTTAAAAAAACTCCTGAATAAGTCTACTGGAAGAGTTACTCTTCTGAGTGAATAAGCTTTTGTTTGTGTTCTTATTTTAAATAATCAAAGTCAATTTATTAAAATGTTGTGGAAAGTACTATTCCCAGGGATTTTAATGCACAAACCATAGTGTGACAAGAGATAAGCCTCTGTACTGTAAATAAGAGAAATGAAATAGAGAAATGTTAAATATTTTATGAGTTTAGAATGTAGTAAATAAAAGGTGATGTAAATGAATGCTGCACAAATGGTGTTTATGATACTTTGAGTAGTACTTTAGGAAAAATTACACGTTCTCAGAAGCTCTTGATGTCTCTAATTGGGTGAGGAAATGCTGTTAATGAGAACAGTCATAAATTTTTAGCATATAATTACAAGAACAGCCTGTGGATATGATCACTTAAATAGTTTTGTGGTGATTCGTGCCATTGATTTTTTATTTAAAAGAAAATTTTGTAATTAAATGCCTTTTTCTAAATTATCTTCTCTTGGAATTATTACTTTGAATCCTATGTGTTTATGAGTCTATTTTTGCTTTTTCTTTATTAATATTATTGAGAATGGACTGTTTTTGTTATTAAAAGTCACCTCTACCCTTATTTCTCCTATTTTCTTTTTAATTTTTAAAATAGAAAGATGTGGGAGATATAAATGTGTTTCCATCTTTAGTTATTTTCCTTAGACAAATTTCTATTCTTTAGGACTTCCAAAATACAGTTTAATCTGTTTCTGACTTTGACAGTTAGTATTGTATTAATTTCCCAGTTAGCAAAACGGTACTGATTTGCGGGCTGAAAACAACAACATAAAAGAAAAATTAAGTGTTTGAAACATTTTAGGAGTATACAACTTAAAGAAAAAAGGATAGCAGTGAGGATAATGATTTAAGTAAAAGGTTTTCTGAAGCTTATGCCAACTAGTTTTCACTATGTTTGCTACCTACCTAAAAAGGAGGGTCAGGAGGAAGACACACATGTTTTGATCATGGAAAAGTATCAGATCTTAATTTTTAAAAAGTAAAAATGCCATTTTAAGTCCCGTTTAGAACTCATGACCCAAATTCGTTTATATTGAATAATATCACATTTAAATAACCCCAAAATATGCATTTTAAAAAATCTTTATATTTTTAGAGACAGCGTCTTGCTCTGTTGCCCAGGCTGGAGAACAGTGGCGCATTCATGCTAACTGCAGCCTCAGGCACTAGGGCTTAAGCAAACCTCCTGCCTCAGCTTCCCAGGTAGCTAGGACCACAGCTGCATGCCACCATGCCTGGCTCATAATAGAAAAAAAGCTTGATACTATAAAGCCTGAAATATAAATGTCCTGATACTAACCTAATGCTTTTGCTGTAATTTTTTTCCTTAGTGACTTTTAAATCTCAGGCTAGTTGTGTGTGTGTGTGTGTGTGTGTGTGTGTGTGTGTGTGAAAAACATTTGCCTTGAGTTTGAAACATTTGAACTCTTAAAGGAGGACTGATTGCCCTGTTGATGGTGGTGATGCTCTTTTCTGAAAGTGGGTTTATTAATCTGTTCTCACACTAATATGAAGAAATACTTGAGACTGGCTAATTTATAAAGGAAAGAGGTTTAATTGACTCACATAGTTGGGGAGCCATCAGGAAACTTACAATCGGGGCAGAAGGGGAAGCAAATATGTTCTTCATATGGCGTCAGGAAGGAGAAAAATGAGAAGTGCAGAGTGAACGGGGGTAAAAGCCCCTCAAAACCATCAGATCTTGTGAGAACTCACTGACAATCACAAGAACGGCATGAGGAACTGCCTCTGATTCAGTCATCTCCCACCAGGTTTCCTCCCCTAACATGTGGGGATTACAATTCAGATTGCAATTCAAGATGAGATTTGTGTGGGGACACAGAGCCAGAGCATATCAGAGGTCATTGTAATTCTTTCCACTTACACAATCTTAGCTTAATGCTGCTGTAGAATTCAATGTAAATTCCCTACTAGTACTCTTTGGGAAAGGCAGTTTATTTTACCAACTTCATGGGATTTTTCACTGTTGTCTTTCCTTGTTTTCATTAGACTGGTTTGCATTTTCCATCTCATTGTCCTGGTTTTCACCTACTCATCAGTAGGTGGCAGTATTGGTCAGGGATTCTTTTGAATCTACCGGGACGTTTTAAAAGTGAACCTGAGTTCATAGGGAAGTTGCTAACAGTGCCAGGCATCTGAGAGGCGCTTGGGTGAGAACACTGGGGAGCTCTTGTTTTTATTGCTGATTCTGAAATTGTAAATAATAATTTCATAGTTTCTATATTTAATGTTTGTCTGCTTTTATTCTTAATCCTTTTAATGGGAAGGGCGGGAGATTTTTCTAAGCTGAAATTAGGCTTTTGACATCTATTTCAAGCAGAAGGATTACGACAAGAGGGAAGGCAGTGAACTGGAAAAGTAAGTGAAGGGATGTCTAAGATAGGAGGGCATAATGAACTCTGACATTATTATTATACTTTAAGTTCTGGGATACATGTGCAGAACGTGTAGGTTTGTTACATAGGTCTACATGTGCCATGGTGGTTTGCTGCACCCAGAAACCCGTCATCAACATTAGGTATTTCTCTTAATGCTAACCCTCCCGTAGTCCCCCCACCCCCAACAGGCCCTGGTGTGTGTTGTTCCCCTCCCTGTGTCCATATATTCTCATTGTTTAACACCCACTTATGAGTGAGAACATGCGGTGTTTGGTTTTCTGTTCCTGTGGTTAGTTTGCTGAAAATGATGGTTTCCAGCTTCATGTCCCTGGAAAGGACATGAATTGAATTCAACCTTTTGTAAGACTGTATAGTATTCCATGGTGTATATGTGCCACATTTTCTTTATCCAGTCTTATCGTCGATGGGCATTCGGGTTGGTTCTAAGTCTTCACTGTTTTGAACAGTGCTACGATAAACATGTGTACATGTGTCTTTACAGTAGATTGATGTATAATTCTTTGAGTAAATACCCAGTAATGGAATTGCTGGGTCAAATGGTATTTCTGTTTCTAGGTCCTTGAGGAATCACCACACTGTCCTCCACAATGGTTGAATTAATTTACCCTCTCACCAACAGTGTAAAAGCATTCCTATTTCTCCACATCCTCTCCAGCATCTGTTGTCTCCTGACTTTTTAATGATCACCATTCTAGCTGGCATGAGATGGTATCTCATTGTGGTTTTGATTTGCATTTCTCTAATGACCAGTGATGATGAGCTTTTTTTCATGTTTGTTGGCTGCATAAATGTCTTCTTTTACGAAGTGTCTGTTCATATCCTTTGCCCGCTTTCTGAGGGATTTTTTTTTCTTGTAAATATGTTTACTTTCCTTGCAGATTCTGGATATTAGTCCTTTGTCAGATGGATAGATTGCAAAAATTTTCTCCCATTCTGTAGGTTGCCTGTCCATTCTGAACATAGTTTCTTTTGCTTTGCAGAAGCTGTTTAGTTTAATTAGATGCCATTTGTCAATTTTGGCTTTTGTTGCAATTGCTTTTGGTGTTTTAGTCATGAAGTCTTTGCCCATGTCTATGTCCTGAATGGTATTGCCTAGGTGTTCTTATATGGTTTTAGGTCTTACATTTAGGTCTTTAATCCATCTTGACTTAATTTTTGTATAAGGTGTAAGGAAGGGGTCCAGTTTCAGTTTTCTGTATATGGCGAGCCAGTTTTCCCAACACCATTTATTAAATAGGGAATTGTTCCCCAATTGCTTGTTTTTGTCAGGTTTGCCAAAGATCAGATGGTTGTAGATGTGTGGTGTTCTGTTCTGTTCCAGTGTATATATCTGTTTTGGCACCAGTACCATGCTGTTTTTGTTACTGTAACTTTGTAGTATAGTTTGAAGTCAGGTAGCATGATGCCTCCAGCTTTGTTCTTTTTGCTTAGGATTGTCTTAGCTATATGGGCTCTTTTTTTGGTTCCAAATGAAATTTAAAGTAGTTTTTTTCTAATTTTGTGAATAAAGTCAATGGTAGCTTGCTGGGGGTAGCATTGAATCTATAAATTATTTTGGGCAGTATGGCCATTTTCACGATATTGATTCTTCCTATCCTTGAGCATAGAATGTTTTTCCATTTGTTTGTGTCCTCTCTTATTTCCTTGAGCAGTGGTTTGTAGTTCTCCTTCAAGAGGTCCTTCACATCCCTTTTAAGTTGTATTCCTAGGCATTTTATTCCCTTTGTAGCAATTGTGAATGGGAGTTCATTCATGATTTGACTCTCTGTCTATTACAGGTGTATAGGAATGATTGTGATTTTTCAACATTGATTTTGTGTCCTGAGACTTTGCTGAAGTTGCTTATCAGCTTAAGGAGATTTTGGCCTGAGATGGTGGAGTTTTCTAAATATACAATCATGTCATCTGGAAACAAAGACAATTTGACTTCCTCTCTTTCTATCTGAATATCCTTTATTTCTTTCTCTTGCCTGACTGCCCTGGCCAGGGCTTCCAAATTCATGTTGAATAAAAATGGTGAGAGAGGGCATCCTTGTCTTGTGCCGGTTTTCAAAGGGAATGCTTCCAGCTTTTGCCCATTCAGTATGATATTGGCTGTGGTTTTGTCATCAATAGCCCTTATTATTTTGAGATATGTTCCATGAATACCTAGTTTATTGAGAATTTTTAGCACGAAGGGATGTTGAATTTTTTTGACCACTTTTCCTGCATCTAATGAGATAATCATGTGGTTTTTGTCATTGGTTCTGTTTATGTGATAGATTATGTTTATTGTTTTACATATGTTGAACCAGCCTTGCATCCCAGGGATGAAGCCGACTTGATCATGGTGGAGAAGCTTTTTGATGTACTGCTGGATTCAGTTTGCCAGTATTTTATTGAGGATTTTGATGTTCATCAGGGATATTGGCATGAAATTTTTTTTGTTGTGTCTCTGCCAGGTTTTGGTATCAGGATGATGCTGGCCTCATAAAATGAGTTAGGGAGGAGTCCCTCTTTTTCCATTGTTTGGAATAGTTTCAGAAGCAATGTTACCAGCTCCTCTTTGTACCTTTGGTAGAATTTGTCTGTGAATCTGTCTGGTCCTGGGCTTTTTTTGGTTGGTAGGCTATTAATTACTGCCTCCATTTCAGAGCTTGTTATTGTCTATTCAGGGATTCGACTACCTCCTGGTTTAGTCTTGGGAGGGCGTATGTGTTTAGGAATTTGTCAGTTTCTTCTAGATTTTCTAGTTTATTTGCATAGAGGGGTTTATATTATTCTCTGATGGTAGTTTGTATTTCTGTGGGATTGTTGGTGATATCCCCTTTATCATTTTTTCTTTTGTCTATCTGATTCTTCTCTCTTTGCATCTTTATTAGTCTAGCTAGTGGTCTATTTTGTTATTCTTTTAAAAAAACGAGCTCCTGGAGTCATTGATTTTTTTGAAGGGTTCTTTGTGTCTCTATCTCCTTCAGGTCTGCTGTGATCTTAGTTATGTCTTGTCTTCTGCTAGCTTTTGAATTTTTTTGTTCTTGCTTCTCT